GAACACATAATGGATGACTTTTGAATATCTGACAGTGAAAAGATCCAAATAAGAAGCTTTAATAGTCTGGTTGGATTAGGTTTGGGTTAGCTTTAATGCTTTATCTGAAAAGGTTGTTATAAAATCCAACTATTGCTGTTTTAAATTATTATTTTACTAGTGTTAAAAATTACAGTTACTCTTGAATATGATGCAGCTGGTCTTTGTCATCCATTTTCTGCAGATTTAGAGTAAATTTAGTTGTTAAAGTTGGGACTGATGCTCAAAGCTGATAGATTTGGATTTATTAGAGGTTTATCTTTTCAGATAAGCAGCTTTTAAGATTTGAAATGTGTCATGAAGTCCTTTAGTCCTGTAAATCGATATGGGCAGAGTGTAGCATGGTTTAAATAATTTAGACTTGGGTATCTGGTTTACATTTTAACCCTAACAAATACTTTTGCAGTGAAACTCATCCTTAAATGTGTGGATGGTAGTTTTATGCCCTGTGTATTTGCAGCTGCAGGATTTGCTGCCTTGGTGTTTCAATGCTGCTTGCAACCTTGAGTCTGAGTGCCGCTGGGAGAAGGGTATCTCGTCAGCAGGAGAAAGACAGAAAAAAAAACAACCTACCTTTTTTATTTTTTAACAAAACCTATGAGTCACCTTGTGAGGTAGATCTTGTTTATGTGCTCATGGACGCCCACAGTGGTAAATGCCAAGGCCCTGATCCCATCCACTGCAGCTCTATTGTTGTCAGTGAGGCACACTTAAGCCCCACTCGTCCCCCATATAGGACCCTTTTTTTTTTTTTTTTTGGACGAGTAGCCGGTTGAACGCTCCTGTCTTGGCATGCTTTCAACAGCTGTAGCTTAGCAACAGTAGCCTGGCAGCTCCTGTTTCATAAAATGCGCTCCACCCTGCCCCTGGCCCCCCTCCCAGTGCCTCTAAGTCACTTCACCTTTCCTCATGTTGCTGTCCAGCTCATGTTTGACTTATTCTCAGGAGTGCAATACAAAAATAAAACACAAAAAGAAAACAGGTTTTTCTACCTTATCTTACCTGCACAAACTGTGAAACAAAGAAAAGCAGGGATTGACTGTCTCAACAAACAGAAGAGTACCCTTTTTTTGTTGTTTTAACAAAAAAGTACCTCCAGTTAATACATATCACATAATACGGTGCATGTTATTGAAAGGAGTACTAAAAATTAAGCATGTTTTGATAGTTTTCCATAAACTTAAAAGCTCTAAGCTTGCAGCTTTAGTTTTTAAAAATGTTATAATATATGCTTACATTGCCACATGTTCAAAAACAGGGATGGTAAACATTAAGATGCACCAATCAGAGTTCAGAGCGTTAGGATTCACCAATCAGAGCTCAGAACATTGATAGGCACCAATAAGGGCTCAGAATGTTGTTAAGGTGCACCAATCCGAGCTCAGAACATTAAGAC